AACAATATGTAATTATATATGTGTTTTCCGATGGTCTTAGGTGACCCCTGTGAAAGGGCCCTTGGACCCCCACAGGGGTCGCGACCCACAGGTTGAGAACCGCTGGACTAGAGGGAGGAGGCAGCGCGTTGCACAAGGGCCGGCCCTTATTCTGAGGCCGGTTTCATCCCTCCTCTCATTTCGAAGAATTACAGAAAGTGACAAAATCTCTTCACCAAAGTCACCTCGCAAATGCCTCCAGCAGAGAGATGCTTCCAAGAAGTGCTCAAAATGCCTTCGTTTGAGGGGTTTGGGGTCAACACACACCCAGCCTGCTCCCCGCAGAGCGGGGCGGGGATTTCCCGCGAGGCCCCGCCCGGCTGAGTCACTCCAGCGCCCTGTGTGTGACTCTAACCTGTCAGCCTCCCTCCTCCTCACAGCTCGCTGCTCCCAAGACCGAGTCCCGGAAAGTTCCTCAGCCCCGGCGGGCGAGCTCAAGGTTGGTCCGAGCGGGGCAGACGGGGGCTCTGGCTGGGGAGAGGATAGAGGCTCCCTTTACTTGGTAACATTCCTAGACTGTCCCCCCTTCTACCGGCTAACATCCTCTCTGCATAGCTCATAAAACAAAGATCAAATACAAATCTCGAAGGAGCTGCTCTCTGTTCTCCTTAGTTTTGTTCCGATCTGAGCTTCAAATCTCAAAATGAGCAGCTACATCTGTTAAGAAGCTGTGCACAGCAGAGCAAAGATAGTCAATCGCTTGGTGATAATGGTGTAAGATGCCGGGTGGGTGGGACCAGCTTACGGGGGGATCGCTCTGTGAGTTGTATGAACGTCCACCCACTGTGTTGCACACCTGAAACTAACAGAGCATTGAATGTCAAGTGCAATTGAAAAGTTTAAAAGTTTGCATGCGATGGGGCGTTGAGCAGGGAGGTATGGCAACGTTTCAGCAACCGGTGGTTGAAATGTCCACGTGCTGTTCATACAAACGGTGATAACGGAATATCTTCTCGTCCAGCTGAACAGTTAGCTGTCCCGGCAGATTCTCAGGGTCCAGGGGCCGCAGGCAACTGGCATTGTTGAAATCGGGGCGCTGAGTAGCCAAGAAAGTCCCCAAAAGTTCCTGCTGTGATGACTTCTGTGTTTTGGGGGAACTGGCCGGGCAGGGCCCCCCAGGCCGAGGCAGGCGTGCACGGAGCTATGCGTGTAGTTACCTGGGCCCCCCAGAGACGTTCCCGTGAACTTCCTCCCTTTCCCGTCCCGATTTCCCTGGAAACTCCGGTTCCGGTGGGACTGGATGGCGGTGGCGGGAACCTTGCCCCGGACAGGAGAACTCTCCCCATCCCTGCGCCCGGCCCCTTTTCGCAGGGCGCACTCGGGAACGGCGACTTGGATGCCCAGGCTCCGGAGTCTGCTTTGCTGCTCATCTCCGTGCAGGACCCAGACCTCCTCATGGGAAGTGGGCGCTACGGGCTCCTGGCCGCGGTGCTGCTGGTCGTGAGTGTGGAGCGGGTGCGACCAGGGCAGGGCTCCTGCAGGGACTGCCCAGCGGGTGAGGACCCAGTGCCCGTGTGCGTGTGGTGCTGGAACGGGGCGCGGGCGGTCGCAGGGTCAGGGCCCAGGAGCGCTGCTTGAATGGCCTTGTACACGGTCACCGACAAGTACTTCTTGGAGGCGGCGTCTTAGCCGTGTGCACAAAGCCATGCCCCCTGCCCCGCCGTGTCCTCAGGGGTAACGAGAACGTGGTGCACAGCGCTGCTGGGAGGACCCAGGAGGGTTACAGAGGGCAGGCACCGGCCAGCCTCCGGGAAAGGCAGCTGTGGGGGAGGCCCTGGCTCCACCTGGGGCACAGCAGGGAGCAAGGAGGAGGCGGGCGGAGGGTGTGTGCGTGTGTCTGTGTGTCTGTGTGTCTGTGTGTGTCTCTCTGTGTGTGTCTGTGTGGGTATCTCTGTGTGTTTGTGTGTGTGTCTCTGTGTGTGTCTGTGTCTCTCTCTGTGTGTCTGTGTGTGTATCTATGTGTGTGTGTGTCTGTGTGTCTGCGTGTGTGTCTCTGTGTCTGTGTGTGTCTCTGTGTGTCTCTGTGTGTCTCTGTGTGTCTCTGTGTGTCTCTGTGTGTCTCTGTGTGTCTCTGTGTGTCTCTGTGTGTCTCTGTGTGTCTCTGTGTGTCTCTGTGTGTCTCTGTGTGTCTCTGTGTGTCTCTGTGTGTCTCTGTGTGTCTCTGTGTGTCTCTGTGTGTCTCTGTGTGTCTCTGTGTGTCTCTGTGTGTCTCTGTGTGTCTCTGTGTGTCTCTGTGTGTCTCTGTGTGTCTCTGTGTGTCTCTGTGTGTCTCTGTGTGTCTCTGTGTGTCTCTGTGTGTCTCTGTGTGTCTCTGTGTGTCTCTGTGTGTCTCTGTGTGTCTCTGTGTGTCTCTGTGTGTCTCTGTGTGTCTCTGTGTGTCTCTGTGTGTCTCTGTGTGTCTCTGTGTGTCTCTGTGTGTCTCTGTGTGTCTCTGTGTGTCTCTGTGTGTCTCTGTGTGTCTCTGTGTGTCTCTGTGTGTCTCTGTGTGTCTCTGTGTGTCTCTGTGTGTCTCTGTGTGTCTCTGTGTGTCTCTGTGTGTCTCTGTGTGTCTCTGTGTGTCTCTGTGTGTCTCTGTGTGTCTCTGTGTGTCTCTGTGTGTCTCTGTGTGTCTCTGTGTGTCTCTGTGTGTCTCTGTGTGTCTCTGTGTGTCTCTGTGTGTCTCTGTGTGTCTCTGTGTGTCTCTGTGTGTCTCTGTGTGTCTCTGTGTGTCTCTGTGTGTCTCTGTGTGTCTCTGTGTGTCTCTGTGTGTCTCTGTGTGTCTCTGTGTGTCTCTGTGTGTCTCTGTGTGTCTCTGTGTGTCTCTGTGTGTCTCTGTGTGTCTCTGTGTGTCTCTGTGTGTCTCTGTGTGTCTCTGTGTGTCTCTGTGTGTCTCTGTGTGTCTCTGTGTGTCTCTGTGTGTCTCTGTGTGTCTCTGTGTGTCTCTGTGTGTGTTTGTGTGTCTGTCTGTGTGTGTGTGTGTGTGTGTCTGTGTGGGGGGGGCAGAGTGGGGGAAGGCAGGCACAGGTATCAGTGAAGGATGCTGATCTCCCCCTGAACCCTATCATACTGATCTCCTGGATCAATCCAGAGAAATCATTCTGTTTTATTCAATAGATAGAGGGAACTATTTTCTTTCTGTTGACTTATTTGTTGCAATACCTACACTTTGTTATTCTTATTTCTGTGATTATGTTGAGGGCAATCTTGCAAATTTGTACTTAAAAATGTTTTTTCAATCCTCACTCGAGGATGTGTTTATTGATTTTAGAGAGAAGGGAAGGGGGGGGGGAGGAAACATCTGTGGAACCTGCAACCTTTCGGGGTCTGAGCTGACACTCCAGCCAGCTGAGCCCCTGGCCCAGGGCCCACATGTAGACTTTAAAAATATATATATTTTTATTGATTTCAGAGAGGAAGGGAGAGGGAGAGAGAGATACAAACAACAATGATGAGAGAGAATCACTGATTGGCTGCCTCCTGCACGCCCCCTACTGGGGATCGAGCCCACAACCCGGGCAGGTGCCCTTGACTGGAATCGAACCCGGGACCCTTCATTCCACAGGCCGATGCTCTATCCACTGAGCCACACCAGCCAGGCCCCCCCCACCCCCATTATACTTTTAAGAAGCTAATCAGCAAATAAAGCCAATCACTGTGGCACCTGGAAAGCGAATTAGTGTTTCGGATTCTAGTTTTCTTGTGGACATCACAACGCGGCCGGCGACGGTAGCCATTGTCAATCACACACAGCTGTGCCCTGCCCGCGCAGGTACTTTCTGTGGGAAAACCAAGACGCCGACGTGCATCCCCTGTCCCTCCGATAGCTTCTCCCGCAGCCCTGGACAGGAGGCCTGCAACCTGTGCCGGCGCTGCGAAGGTAGGACCTCGGGGATGGCTTCACTCGGAGACGGGCGGGGGCACCGCCCCCCCAGATGTATTCCCTAGGGGGCTGGCCTCCCAAAGGTCAGGGGTCCGAGGGGCGGGGTCCCCAGCCCATAGGCAGGCCCAGGAAAATAATTCACGGCCACAGCAATGACGTGTGGATTGAGCTTTTTAAATGTCAGAGGAAACACGCATTTGACCAGAGAGAAAATTTTCATCAGCAAAATGTAAAAATATCTTCTATTGGGATTCAAAGGTGGACTTTATCCTTTAAGATCATTGGGAACATTTTAAAAAGATTATATATATATATATATATATATATAATTTCAGGAGGCCCAGTGCACAAAAGTTTGTACACTCAGGGGGATGGGGGGTCTCTCAGCCCGGCCTGTGCCCTCTCGCAGTCCAGGCGCCCTCGGGGGATGTCCGACAGCTATTAGACATCCCGCTACCGCCATTGTGCTTGCCAGCCTTGAGCCTGTCTTCTGGCTGAGTAGCGCTCCCCCTGTGGGAGTGCACTGACCACCAGGGGGCAGCTTCTGCATTCAGTATCTGCCCCCTGGTGGTCAATGTGCGTCATAGTGACCAGTCGTTCTGCCGTTTGGTCAATTTGCATGTTAGCCTTTTATTATATAGGATGAGTCCAATGATTTCTCATTGTACATTTAAACAAAATTGAGAATAAAATGAGCCTTGAGCTCTTTAAAAGTCAGATAACTATAGTTGTAATTAACAAAACAATTTACTGTTTTAAATTACCAATAGAGCCTTTTTTTTACTTGAAAGCAGGATCCTTAAGGATTGCACTTTCAAGAAATACTATGTTGATTTTTATGTGGAACTTTCAAGATCAAAGTAATTTATATTGGTACTGCAGATATTAAATAATTATTTTGGCCCCCTCAGTGACTCAATCCAATATTTAATATAAAATTATGTAAAGTATTATGTGAAAATAGCACATCTTTTTAATAATGCAGTTCCTAAATCCTAGGACCCAAGCAATTCTAAGATGCATTATTAATATTTTGGAAACATTTTTGGAAAGAAGACAAATTTTCACATTAAATGTACATGTCAATTTTAAATATGTGAAAAATTAATGCAACTTAGAATTAAAGTAATAGATTAATGAAAAGTATCATTTAGAGATTAGAAAAGCTATGGTTTTTTTTCAAATATAAGACTTAATGAACATAACCAGTAACCTGGTATATTACACTTTGATTGGCTGAACGGCTGATCGACTGACCGGACACTTAGCATATTAGGCTTTTATTACATAGGATTATACAGTTGAAACCTATACAATTTTATTAACCACCCTCACTCCAATAAATTCAATTAAATTGAAAAAAAAATCCCACACTCCTAATAAGCCAAAATAAAGATAACATACAGCAGGCGCAGGCTGGGCCTTCGGAATGTAAAATCAAGCGTACATCTGTAGACCCTTAAAGCTACAAGCAATGAACCGCTGCGTCAAGTGTAGGATATTTGCCAACTGTTTGAAAGCCCATTTGTTATTCACCAGGGCCGGGAGCTTCAGACTTTGGTTGATTCATCTCAGGGTTTGGTCTCAAGAGTCCTTGAACGATCTGTGTAGACTGACTGAAGTTTGCGGCTTTATTATGGAGTATGGCCATCGCGGGGAAAGTTACGAAACGGTGGAGATCCTTCCTTTCTGATTTTTGCTTTTTATAATTCCTATGCCAGGCTGCAAAGACTGTGACCCCGGGACATTTAACGACCAGAAGCTGGGCGCCTGCCGGCCCTGGACCGAGTACGTATAACTTCCCTTTGCTCACGCCGTGAGGAGCCCGGGCTAATTTTCTTAAAGACAAAGAATGTTACCACGGAAGCTTTAAAAAAGGAAGTTTTTATTGACGTTAGAGAGAGAGGGAGGGAGCCAGAGATAGGAACATCCATGAGAGAGAAACATCAACATCGCTCGGCTGCCTCCCGCACGCCCCCCGCTGGGGATGGAGCCGTAACCGGGAATGTGCCCTGACTGGGAATCGAACCGTGGCCTCCTGGCTCCCAGGCTGACACTCCACCACTGAGCCACACCGGCCAGACTCACTGAGCTTTTTGAAATCGACCGAGTGTAGGCACGGAACACCGTCCCACCAGGCAGGGCGGGAACGGCACGGGGAGGAGCGCCTGGCTCTGCAAAGCGGGCGTTTTCCCGGGAAATGAAGCCGAGCCTCCAGGTCAGAGTTGACTGCCGGCCCCTGCCCGCCCCGTTCCTTCTGGGTCCTTCCCGTCTCTCGCTGCCTCGTACCCTCCCTCGCCAATCAGCACGCCTTCCCGTGGGCAGTGCCCAGCACGGAGAGTGATGTCCACGCGTGCGTGCTCCCCTTAACACCTGGCATGGCCCTGGCCAGTGTGGCTCAGTTGGTTGGGCATCATCGTGTGTGCGGAAAGGCCACAGGTTCGATTCCCGGTCTGGGCACAGGCCTGGGTTGTGGGCTCAATGTCCCGTAGGAGGAAGCCATGGATGTTTCACTCTCACATTTATGTCTCTCTCTCTCTCTTCCTCTCTCGCTCTCTCTCTCTCTGATCAATAAAAACATATTTTACGAAATCCCCATGAACCCAGACTCACACGTCTTTGTGAGAGGTTGCTTGATGGGGTGGGGAGGGCGATGTGTCTCACTGGCATGATCTGGACCTGAGTTACTGATCGGGACTCTCTCCATTGGCCTCAGCTGCGCCCGGGCCGGGAAGGCCGTGCTGGTGAACGGGACGAAGGAGAGAGACGTGGTGTGCGGGCCCCACTCGGGGGACCCCTCC